GAAGGCTGTAGATGGTGAGTTAGCCTCGGATGAGGCTTCTTTTATGTGCAATATTTCATATTCTAATGTTGTTGGATGCCTAATGTATGCCATGATAGGTTCTAGGATTGATATTGCATATGGTGTTAGTGTAGTAAGTAGATACATGAGTAAACCATCTAAGAAACATTGGAATGCTGTGAAATGGTTGCTTAGATACCTTAGTGGCTCTGTTGATTGCTGCATTCATTATACTGCTGAAAACTCAATTAATTGTGATATTACTGGTTATTGTGAATCTGACTATGCTGTTGATCTTGACAAAAGAAGGTCTCTAACTGGTTTTGTTTTTTGTGTGGGAGGAAATGTGGTGAGCTGGAAGGCAAGCTTGCAACACATTGTGGCACTCTCCACAACTGAAGCAGAGTATGTGGCTCTCACAGAAGCTGTCAAGGAGGCAATGTGGCTACATGGAATTGTCTCTGAGTTGGGTTTAGGTAAGGACCCACCTAAGGTATTTTCTGATTCTCAATTTGCCATACACTTGTCCAAAAATGGTGCATACCATGAAAGGACCAAGAATATAGATGTTAGGATGCATTTCATACGGGAAATAATTAGTAATGGTCAGGTTAGTGTGAATAAAATATCAACTGAAATTAATCCTGCAGATATTTTGACTAAGACTGTTCCTCTTAGTAAATTTAGGGAGGCTCTAAATTTGCTAAAAATAAAACCTCCCTAAATTGCATGCATTGCATAGGCCTTGGGCTAAACGCCATAAAAACTCTAGTGTGCACTTTGTTCTGTTGTATGTTTAGTAAATAGGTGGAGATTTGTTATGAGTATTTTCTAAACTTGTAATATCATGTTGTTTATATATGATATATTTGATATTGAATTTATTCCATCGTTGCATCTGTTTTGCATATATACTGGAACTTGTTATAATATTTGTTTAAGCCATGTGGGCCCAAAATGAATATAGCATTATTATTTTGTGGCCCAAAACGGTTTTGCTTTCTTATTCTCGTTTGGCAATATTATTGCAACTAAATAAAACGCTGTGTTTTTTTATGGTGGTATATATATCAAATTGAGAACTACAACAGTGTGTAAAAAAATATTCAGTTTTGTATGCATTATTCTGATCGTGCTTTTATCTTTCTCTGTTCATTCGGGTTCTTTGAAATCAAGAAAAGGTTAGGGTTTGTCGAGTGTGTGTGAGGGAGATTTGAGGGAAAAAGAGTGAGAATCTCATCTTGGCTCTTTGAAGAGAAGTGATCCTCGTGTGAAGGTGCATCAATTGATCGTAGCATTATTGTTAGAAGATACTGTCAACAGTGAACGAAGGTGAAGCTTGGAGGCGTTCCTAGCTGGTGAAGTCTGGTCCGTGGAGTTGTAGAGCTGAAGACACAGATCCATTAGTGTTTGCTCTCTTATTCGGTGATACCTTTCTTTTGTTCTTGCTATTGTTGATTTTTATTTGCATGTACTTTCTAGTCTTGGAGGTTCTTTTCTCTGTTATTTTGAGTAGTGCTGATTTTACATGTTTAGTGTATGCTGTGTTAGCTGCTAGTATATGTAAACTGCTGAACATATTTGTACCTATTTCTATTCTGAATAATAGTGCATGCTAGATGGCGTTTGACCCTCACTGACCAACTTGGATGTAAGAAATTCTTTTACAAAGAATTTCTGAACCAAGTATAAATTTCTGGTGTTGTTCTTTATGTTTTCTGTTTCTGCAAGTTTGTTTTCTGGGTTAATTCTTGGTAGCTCTATACCAAGAATTGTAACAGATAACTTATCATATCTTACTTTTATCTCTTGTTTGGTGGATCAATAGGATATGATTAGCTTATCCTATTGTCTCATTTTGTCTTATCTAATACATGATTTCTTATCTTATGGGAGGAGTTGGGTTAGGATTCAACATGATAAGATACCAATATTGGATACCCAATATATCCCCACGCTACCCAATATATCCCTACGTTACCCAATATATTTGTATTTATTACATTATATTTTGTTTTTTCTTTCTCCTTCTATATAATCTTAACAGATTGCTAATCAGGTACTCATCAAACACAGGACATGATATAGGCTTATCAGCCCCATATCATATCCTACCCTTATCCTATCATATCCACCAAACCAAACGAGCCCTACAATCCAAAAGAAAAGAAGCTAGACCTAAGACTATTAGTGGATATTTTGTTGTATACGCTAAAAGGTTTAAAATTTACAAAATTTATTATCTATTTCATATCAATAGGATTGTGGAATTGGGAAATATTAAATTTCTTGAAAATGACTTAATTAGTGGGAGGATTAACCTAAAAACTTATTTTTTGAAAAAGATAATTCAGATTCTTAACTTTCCACATCAAGTATAAATTTGGATGTTATTCACAGTACCCTTTTAGCTAAACCAATGTTAAGAACCAATCGTTGAAGATTCTAAACCTCATGCTATTAATCCAATAGATCCAATTGTTCAACAATCACTCAGAACTATTGAACAACTAGTTGAACAACATCATCTGGAGAAGAATGTCCATGCAAATTAAGATAGAGTAAAGAAATAAGCACTTCATAGTGATCACATAGTGTATTCACAAGATTCTAACTATGATACCAGAAATGAGAATTATCCTGAAATGTTTTACAAGCCATGAGTTGCAATGAATCTATTATCTGGTAGAATGCCATGAGCAAACTGGTGATTTCTGTGGCATCTGGCAAAGTAAGAGATTTAATGAAATTGTCCAATTGAATGAAGGCTGTTGGTTATAAATGATTCTTGTTGTTTGTGATCTTTTTCTCATTTTCTCACTTTAGTGTACATATTCATTTGTTGAGAATAAAAAATATTATTGATCCTTCAATAAACACAAGGTTTATTTACTAAGTGATATGTTCTAGTTAGGAGGTAAAATGGTTTATAATACATGATAATACTTATTACATTATTCATATATTAATATGATAATGTATGTTGAGATATATAGTCCCACATTGGTTGTATGTGCAACTAATGTGGAGTTTATAAGGTCTTGGACACTCTCACCCTTTGAGCTAGCTTTTGGGATTGTGTATCCCAAGGTTCTTTATATGGTATCAGAGCCTCGTCGTCCCCCACTTTCTCTTGTGGCGTTTCTTAGCACAGGTAGGCTGGGCCTGTTGCATTATCCACTCTTCAAGCCCAATGGACTCTTGTGTGAGGGGGCGTGTTGAGATATATAGTCCCACATTGGTTGTATGTGCAGCTAATGTGGAGTTTATAAGGTCTTGGGCACTCTCACCTTTTGAGCTAGCTCTTGGGGTGGTGTATCCAAGGTTCATGTACGTTATGGTTTGACTTATTACCATGATTCATATATATATTTTTTGACTGATTCATATAATTTTGTCTCTTCCGTATAAAGTTTCCTGATTTTATGACTCCGATAAATATATTGGAGTCAAAACGGAAGAATGTTAAACGTTACATGAACATTAAAGATCTCCAATATATAGGATTTCAGTTATAGTTTGACTTTAAAAACTATTTAGTATGTTTCATTAACCACATTTCTAATTATTGTCCCTATCAAAGTCACTAGGAATGGTTTAATCGTGAAGGATTTGAGTAAGTTATATTAGATCATGTGTTCAATTCTTACTTGTATTAAAAAAAAAACTATCCGTATCGTTTTACGTTTTTATGTTAAAATATTGTTCAACAGCCAATTATAAAAATGGGGGTCCCTTGACTTAGAAAATGTGTAGTTTATAAATAAATAAATTAATTAATAATATTTATTTTGCAACTTTTAAATGGTCGCAGGTATGAAAAATGACCTTTCCCGCATTTTATTTTATGCATGTACGTCTTTATTTTTTCATTCATATTGTTTTACATTAATTATTCATGTTAATTATTTAAAAAATCAATTTTTTTATTTTTTCAATTTTAAATTCAATTTTTTTAAAAAAGAATTCACGAATATTTACATAATTAATATAGCACCTAGTGATTTGTGTCTCTATGTAACTGGATCTATGAATTTGTGGAATAAATCAAGGAATAACATGACTGCAGTGAACTATGTCTCTGGGTCCAAGTTGACCCTTTATTTCAAGTCAGATTGTGAGAAAAAAAAAAATTGACCTGAACTTGATCACAAAGTATTGCAGTGGAAAAACATGATTGAACATTTCAATTACCTACTATAAAAGGCTTAAATATAAGTTGAAATAATGCCTTTTGGTATATTAGATAATCCGTGCATATGATATTTGTTCAACAAAATTGTATGTCTTCTTAAATCCAATATAACTTTCAAAGCTTTGATTTCACTTTGTTCTTTACCACAATTTATGTAATATGTATCATTTGTTGACTGTTGTTTCCTCAAAAAAAAATCAAGGTTAAAAAATTTCCCCAGAATAATGAATAGCCCAGGTATAATTTTCTTTTGATCAAACTATGGCCTCAGTTGATTGTTGAAGTGGTATTCACACCACTGCTAGAATTAACCCACCTTCAAGTTGATTTAACCAAATTTATTTTATTTAGGTGTACTTAAATTACCTCTTATCATTAAGTCAATCACATTATTTGAATTAATAAAATTAATTACTAGTTATTCACCATAACCTCAATGTAAGTGGTTAATGTTAACTCACTTATTGGTCAATAAAAGTAATATATGATATCATTTTTATTTTTATTTTTACCCAATGGCATTTCTGAAACCCCTTTCAAATAAAATGCATAATACAAAACAGAACAGCCCCAAATCAAAGGCAACTTGATATTGAAACATAAATTTAAGAAGACTACACCAATAGAGACTACCAAGTAGTTTCATTTAGAAAGGGAACATAGAGGGTTAGGCTGTCATGTGATGGATGCTTAAGTAAGCTATGCTATCTTAGTTACTGCAAGCTCCTTATGTCACAACTTAAACTTCAAAATGCAGATGCCAGTTCAATATTATGTGCAGCAATAAAAAGCATCATGAGGGATGACATAGAAAACCCAAATGGTCAAAATTTGCAATTTAGGAGTACAAGCTTTTTAAGTATCCATACAGAGAGGAGGAGACTTAACTATAGCCACCTTATTGTATGACTACTGTCAAATTATGCACTTGACCAAGAAAATGAAAAAAGAAGCACAGGGCATACAAAAACTTAGTGATGCAATATTGTTTATGAAGTTCACTGTGGTACAGCCTCTAACTGGGCAGGGACAGTATGAGAAGGCTGTTGCTCTTCCTGCACTACTTCATGTTGGAGTTGCTGTGGTTGTTCTCCTTGCCAGGTCCAAACAATGTCCTTAAGTGCTGGTCTAATGTCCTGTTCCAGAAGCTTCTGGAACTCCAAGGTATCCCCATTAGACTTCTTAAGTTCCACCATATGAAAGAGTGGAGTAATCTCAAAAATCTCAGCATCAATACCCAAAGCCCCTTTCCTGCCTTCCTTGGAACCTTCCAACTTGAACAAACCTCCATCTTTCTTCTTTACTTTCAAGTGAAGACACTTGCAAATTTCTTCCAACCTAGAGATTATAACTGAGACAGGCTTGTTAGAAGTAAACCGCATCTCTTTCTTATGAAGAGTGTCCTCAAACAAACCAGATAAATCAAAACCAATTGAGAAGGAGATGATATCAAAAGCATTTAGATTAGAAGGCTTAGCCTGTTCTTGATTTGAATCTGCAATAGGACCACTATTCTCACAAACTTCAAATGCTCCATCAGCATCCTGAGAAGCTAGTCCTTTGTTTTCGGTTTCAATAATAACAGGCTTCTCTAACCCCGTTCTAAACCAAGAATTTTTCATGATATTGGTCATTGATATCCTGGTATTTGGGTTTGGATCCAAGATTTTGGACAACAGCCGGCGAACATCGGGTGAAAACCATTTAGGAAATTTGAATTCCCCTTTACCTATTTTCCTGTACATCTCCATCAGATTTGAATCCTGGAATGGAAGATAACCAGCCAATAGAACATACAAGATTACCCCACATGACCATATATCAGCTTTGCTCCCATCATAACCCTTTCTGTTTATCACTTCTGGAGCAACATAGGCAGGGGTACCACATGTAGTGTGGAGTAATCCATCTTGGCACTTAGATTCAGCAATGGCACTCAACCCAAAGTCTGAAACCTTCAAATTCTCATTTTCATCCAATAGTAGATTTTCAGGTTTTAAATCTCGATGAGACACGCCCCTGCTGTGGCAGTAGTCAACTGCACAAATGAGTTGCTGAAAATATTTCCTAGCAACATCCACCTTGAGCTTTCCTTTGGCTACCTTGTCGAAGAGCTCGCCACCTTTTGCATACTCCATGATAAAGTAAATTTTGGTTTTACTGGCCATTACCTCATAAAGCTCAACCACATGTGGATGTCTGACTAATTTCATCACTGAAATTTCACGCTTAATCTGATCAATCATCCCAACTTTCAAAATCTTTTCTTTATCAATTACCTTAACGGCCACACTCATGCCAGTTACAAGGTTCCTAGCATGGTAGACCTTTGCAAAGGTTCCTTGGCCTAATAATTTCCCCAGTTCATATCGCTGCATAAGCACACTTCCCTTCCGTTCCATCTCTGGTAATACTTGTTGCGTACGACTGATGCTACTTTCAATAGTATAATATACTAAGTACAGGTACTTATGTTACCAGAAATTTGTAAACTATTGAAAAGATGCTCAACACTCAACCGTCTTCAGAAACATCACATTTTGGCATCATACAACTGCTTGGATTTCCAGCCACCTCAGGTACATGAGCACAAAATAGATATAGGCAGTGGAATAAAAATCCAATCTCATCAAGAATTAAAAAGGCTAGCTCAGGTGGAGCTACAAGCTCATTAATCTCAGAGAAGGAATTTTTTACTTTCAAGCACATCTTTCAGCATTCCTTAGTTTTAGTAGTGACACTAGAGAATACTGAAGAAGATGAACTTCTTAAAAACCTTGTGGAATGGTCAAGGAATAAAGCAGCACCTGGCTAAATTTCAACTACCCTGAAGTAAAACATCTAGTGAAAAGCACACCTGAAAGAAAGACATAAATTTAGTAGGCAACTTTAAACAATCCCATAAATAGCTTGAAATATATCTTATAAATAAAGTATAATTTAGGAATTGAAAAAACAACTTAACTGTAACTCTCATAAAATAAAATTATAAGTCATAAGTCTTAATTGAGTCACATAAACTGACTGTGTGAAGCCTATGCTTCGGAAGAATAAAAACAGAGGAGTTATATAACTAAATAGGGAGTATATATTCAACAACAACAAAAAATAAGGAGTATATAGAGTGACTAAATGATTATGTGAAGCCTCTACTTCAAAAGAATGAAAAAGAGCAATAATAAAATAGACAAATAAGATGCATAGAGTAGATGAGTGAGTCTGTCAACCCCCTCTTAAAAAAAACGGAAACAAGACAATAGAATAATCAAATAGGATGATTCAGTAACGTTCCTTTAGTTCCTTTTAATTTAACAATTTAAATTTATTTAACTTTTTAATTTATTTTATGAGACTTGATGAAAGCAAAGTAAAAAAGGAAAAAATAAATTAATGACTCATTGAATCATAAGATTCATAACCGTGATACGAAATCACACAGATTCACGCATATGCCGCACAATTCAAAACCATCTTTGATTTATCAACCGTGATACGAATCACTGGCTTGCCAAATCATATTGAATCATGAGATTCAAATTGCAAATGGTAAGATTCTAAAAAATGATTCAAGACAGACAAAAAGAAAACTCATTTCATTTGAACAAATACAAAAGTATATGCTGTCAAAATTAGGAATAGATATACACTGGAGGTGACAATATGCTATGTTGAAGCAATATGGTTGAATCAAATAATCAATCAGCTGGTTACATAAGCACCCTGACATTGTCAATACTTAATACAACACACCAATTGGCTTGAGACTTGAACGGGACACATGTAACAAGCAAGACCATCATTCTGTTTTGAAGCAAAAACAGGTGATTTCTTACCATAGAGAGCTAGACATACAAATAAATCAGTGGTCACATATCTTTGTGGATTTTCTAAAAGCGGAAGAATTTGATAGAACTTCATAAGCAAAGGAAATTCTACAAGGCTGAAATTTGGCACTACAATACAAGCTTCTATATGCATGTGTTTCCACTTTCCATCAAATCACGACCTAACTATCATAATCTCCCGTTCTGTCTACCTTCTTTCACGTTTGTTCCACATGTCACTAGTCCTTGCAAGTTGTAACAGCATGTTGTGAAGGATAGTGATGAATAAGTACATGAATCCTTCATCTGTGCTTTATTATTGGTAAGAGGGCGAGTATTGAAGCAACCAAAACATCACATGTTCAAGCTTAATAAATAGGCTTTTTGAGTAGAATCCAACCTCATTTTCTACCCTCAAACAAAGTTGAGGAGCTTTGTGAACTAGGGTTTGCCTTGTTGCCCTTTTATAATTGGTAAAACTAAAACTATCAACACATCTGTGTGCAATACCATAATACAATAATTCAATAAATGAAAATTAGCACAGTAGCAGCCAAAAAAAATAAAAAAAACTGCTACAAGAAATGAATAGAGAAACTATTAAATTGCCATTAACAGATATATACTTGTATCAACAAAAATGCCTCAAAAGAGATGAAAAAAGAAGCAGAATAGCACACCCTCTATCTACCCCACCCCACCAAATATTAACAAATATGGGAGGGCAGAGAGAGTGGAGTATCTTGTGACTCAGTGAAATGCAAAACAAAACAGTGAGAAAACGCTTAAAATGGCGTTGACATTCATAATGATCTCAAACTCCAAGGCAAACAAATAAAGCTTCAAACTTTCTAACAGCGAGAAGAGTAAAAATTTGAAAGAAAAAAAAAACTCAGAAACATTGTGAAGAAAACAGATCAGGGTGTCTCAATATACCTGAAATGGGGTTTGAGGATTATTGTTTATCTAATTGTGGATGCAAACTTCAATGAATGAGAAGAAGAAGAAGAAGGAGCAACGACGAATAGGTGAGAGAGAGAAATACGTGAAGAGACAAAATGTGATATGTTTTTAACGTAAGACGAGGAATTTGAGAACACACAAACGGCTACGGAGCCGCTTCTTATAAACTTGTGCTCTGTCTTGCTTAGTGATTAAGGGGTGATGGTGACATGTCATTCGGTGATTCGGTGCTTCTACTTTAATTAATTATTAATTTGTAATAAATGATAACCGTTGATCGGTGGAAATCCACGGTTAAGATGTGGTCGTAACATTATGCGTAACATTATTTGTGTGTCACAATATCCTATCCCATAAAATTATAATAAAAAATAATTTAAAATTATATAATGTAATTAAGGAGTAAAATATTATAACAATCAATTAATGTTACTACTAATATTATTATTAATCAATTTCACCGTTAGATCGATTATGTTGATCTAACGGTTTTATTTATTTCCATTTTTGTATGATTATGATTTTCCGTATTTAATGTGAAAGCATTAAATATGAAAAATCATAAACATACAAAGATGGAAAAAATATAAAGTATTAAATACGGATAATCATAGCCATACAAAGATGAAAATAAATATAATCGTTGGATCCACGTAATCGATCTAACGGTGAAATTGATTGGTAGTAACACTAATTGGTTGTTACAATATCATTCCCCTATAATTAACATCATATGATTCCAAAAGGATCCAATAAGCAAAAGATATAAGTAATTAAAATACAAATCAATTATTCTTCTACTTATCAATCATTATGACTAAAATTATCACTATTATCATCTATCTATCAGTGATATAACTAATCCATAATCGTCTTTCAAAAAGGATCATTTTAGATTATTTTTTAATTTAAATCACAAAACAAAGAGAAAAGTATTTGTCATTTTAAATGGCAGAAAGTTATGTCATTTTAAGAGAGATACAGACACAGAAAATTTGAATTTTAAATTAAAAAAAACCACTCACTTTCTCTCTCCCATGATTTCTGTTTTTTTGTGTCTATCTCTCTCCTAAAATGACATAACTTATGTCATTTAAAATGACAAACGCCAAACCCCAAAACAAAACTTTATTTTTTATATTAAAAATTTTGATTTAATTTTCATATTGCATGATGCATCGTAAGATATAATATCGTATTGTTCGATACAAACTCCTTTCTGATATACCTCATGATACGTATCGCTGGGATTATGAATCATATTGTATCGTATGAATCGTATCGTGTATAGTAAGATACTGATAACTATGTTGTAATTTCATATTATTTTTTTATTTTATCTTTATTTAAAATTTAAAAAAATTAAATTGTTTATCATTTTATTATTTATTTTCAGTCTTCAAATGTTTTTCTTTTTAAAATCCTTTTATCGTGTATCAAAAGATGAAAGCTTCCACAGAAAATTAAAGATTTAAAATAGATTATCACCAAAGTAAAATTTGTCATTTACTTATTAAGGCATAATTTGTAACTCTTTATATATATATATATATATATATATATATATATATATATATATATATATAAATTTTCAAAGAAGTTTAGAATTATTATTAAAAGCAATCACTCACAATAAAATTTTAAGGGCAAGTGAAAATTGACCTTTGATATGGGTGCTTGAAATATGCTAAAATTGTCAAATTGTAGATAAATTGGAAGGGAAGGCAAGACAATTTTATAAGTGAAGAAGAGATAATGAATGAAATAAATAATAATAAAATTTCTGTTTTTTAAAATGTAAAATGCTATAAATATAAAAATAAATAAATTGTGCCTGTAAAATGATATATTAAAATACTAATAGGATATAAATAAGTCAGTCGGCCTGTTACGATCCGATCTACATTAGGTTAAACCTGACCTAATATATTCAATAAAATATAGAAGACTCATACCTTTAAAAAAGTTTATTTTGAAAATTTATGGCTTATTTATATTAGATTTAGCCTATAAGTCTATATGTCGGCTCATTTTATATTATTTATTTTAATTAAAATAAAATAAACTAAATATTTTAATAAATTTAACTAATAATTTTTTTTTATTTTTTAATTGTTGATAAATATTGAATGTTTGATAAGTTTTATTAGTTTTATTTATTTTAATTAAGCTCAAATAACATATTTTCAAAATTATAAGATGAGGTTGAAAAGATAAGGATTAGTACGAGTCCTTTTAAATATAGCAACATGAATGATTAAAGAACAACCAATTTGTTGTTTTGCTTTGTTAGTCTTTAAAATATTTAGATGCACAATGTATTGGCCAAGATATTTTGCTTTTAAACTATATAAAATTGCTGCAAGTGGAAGCACTTCAACAACCATCAAATGCGGTATTCTAGTATTCTTAAAAACAACGGTCTATCTAGGGTTGTACGAAAAAAGTGTCTATCTAGGGACATACTAATCACCTAATTATTTGCCAAGAACAACGTTACGTCCATTTAATCACTATTATAGTATTATTTATAAGTTAAACTAAACAGAAAAAAAAAAAGAACAACGAATTTAGCTGATCATCGTTGAAAAAAAATATTATTAATAATCTTAAAATTTTAAGAGGAGAAAAGAATAATTTGGTTGTTTCATTGGCGGAAGACTATGAATTATGAAATGAACAATAAAGCTTCATACTCTCGTGATTCAAGAGAAAAAAACCAATTACGAGGCGACACGTTGCTGGTGAAACTTCGAAACAGCTGAATTATGATGGTGATGCGGGTGCAACGTTCCTGGGTTATGTCGCTGAGAATTGAGATTGCGTCGTGACCATACACGTTTTATGAAAATTTATTCAGTACCACACCTTTTAAGTACTGATTTGTGGTGTTACCATGTCAGATGTTGACACGTAGTTTCTGTCTGTCCAAGTGTGACCTCACCCCCTGATGGAGCAAGGGAGGGCTATTGTCCCCTCAATTTCATTAACTTTTATATTAGACAATATTAAGATTTAAAAAGGTAATATAGCATAAGTTTGCCCCTTCCGTTCTTATTATTTTTTAATCGAAGTTATACTAACTTATTTTTGTTTAGAACCTCTTATAATTATATTTTAATTGTTGATTTTCGTCAATCAATGATTATTATTTATTGTGAATTAATAATTAATTAATAAATTTTATTTGTGAAAATATTAACTGTTAATTGACAGAAATCAACGGTTAAGATATGAGTTGTAAGAGATTGTAAATGAAAATAAGTTGTAAGTATAATCTTTTCTTATTTGTTATGTATAAAAAAATTTGGAGAGTTTTTTTAAATCTGATTACTTACCAACCCATTATTGCATTGCATTGTTCTGCTTAAATTAGTGCGAATTTTGCTTTTTTTATGACTGTGTCATTAATCTCACATGCTTAATGTCAAGGGAGAAATTCTTAATTAAATTCAATAAATAATCCATTTGTTTTGGACGTCTCCATTGTTCGAAAATGTATGGACTGACCCGTCAAGGCTCACAAGGGGGTTATGACCTCAAAATAGAGGATCATTCGCTCCATACATGGCTCATTGTGCCCACTTAATGGAGCACATCCTCACATGTAGTGAGGCATATCACAAGAGCAATTGTGACTCTTTTCTCTCTGATCATAAGAGAATATTTTCATTTTTATATATTCCTCTCTTTTATACAAGATAGGCATCTGTAATCACTATTTAATAAGTGATTATTCTACCAAAATGTAAAGTTACCGTGGCCATTCAAATCTCCCTTTTACCCGATAAAGACGTAACTCTAACTTCACAACAACTCACACTTTAGGGCTTGTTTGGTATGCGGAATTTTTAGGGATTTTCAGAAAATTGAATTTTTTAAAATTTTTAATTTTAAGATATTATCGTAAATTGAATGTAAAAATCATATTTTTGAAAATTGAGATTCCCGGATAAAAAAAATTTCTCCTCTACCAAACGTCCCCTTAGTATTAGAATTTTGGAGTTTCAAAATTCATGCCTATATGGACTTAAGAATAATCACGTAAAATAGAGGTAATAAATTATAAATTGTCCTATATATATTTTTAATAATAAATTTGCAAAATAATCCTTAAAGAGACCATATTTGCAAGAGATAATAAGTCCTTATTTTTATTAAAAGAAATACATTAAATAATCTTCATTTTTCCTTTTTGTTTGAAATTCCAGTGGTTTTGCCATATAGTAAGCTATTCCATTCTAAGAATATTAGTAGGGTTAGGATTAATTTTCCACCGTGAGCGACTTTTTTATGATACCTTTTGTATATTTGATTCTCACTCTTTTTTTCTTTCATTTTTTTCAAAAGGATATATTTTGAAATAACTCCACTTTTTCTTCATTGATTTTGGCATGTCATGTGTGTTGAATATGTGAAGATCTGTTGAATTTCTCTGAGTAAATTTTTCCAAAAAATTAAATTATTAGGTGCAGATTATTTTTATAAAAATAATTATATATTTAGTATATTTTTGTCACAAAAGAGAATTTTATTCCTTTTGGTAGATAGACATTGGCTTGACTAATTTTTTTAAAAATTAAATTGATTATTAAATAAATAAATAAATAAATATATATATATATATATATATATATATTATGTGTGTATGAGAGAGATAGGAAGAGATATATAAGTATACAAAAAAAATTATAAAAAAAAATTAAAACATATTTTCAAGAAAATTAAAATGATTTAGAGCAACAATAATAAGCACTGTTATTAAAACCGGATCGGCCCGACCGATCCGACCGATAACCGGCCCATCAACCGGTCCGGTTGTGACATTGGACCGCTTAAGTATGTGACCCGGGTTTGACCCAGTGACCCGGTGATAAACCCTAATTTTTAAAATTAGCTACAAAATATTTTTTCGCAATAGGTGGGATTCAAACCCGACATATTGAAGTGAGCAGCGCCACTTCAAACCACTAGACCACCATTATCAGTTGAATAAAATACACCATTTAATATATTTATTATATAACTATTAAGTTAAGAGAATTAATTCAAAAATTACATCCAATGGGGTTCGAAATCCTTCCATTGAGGATATGTAATATAACAAATACCA